ACTCATGTCCAGGCTGTTCATGTAGATCTCATCCATTTCTCCGTGTCTTTCTTGGGGTCCCGTTTTCCAGGTAGCCTCACTGGTGATGTGAGTAGCAGTAGGAATGGGGGACTAGAGAGAAGGCCCAGTGTTCTATTCCAGAGGACACAGGTTGAATTCCACTTTAGTTCCAGGAGATCCAACACCCTCTGTGAGTACTGCATGTACATGGTGCATGTGTGCATGCAGGCAGAACACCCATACACATAAAACAAAATGAAAACTATTTTTAAATCAATTTTTTAAAGAAAGAAACTTGTATTTGAAATCTTAAAGTACCAGTATGTATTACATCACAAATGTTATAAAAGAAAGTGAATCCACATCAAAATACTTTAAACACTGTCATAAAGTTGTCTTCTTTTTTTCTTACAGACTGAATTTTGGAAGCAGTATGTTGGTAAGCAATTAGTTTTATTTCCTAGCTGCTATATGAAACATTTGAGAATTGTGCTTTTTTTTCTTTATATAAGTAGAGATTGTAAAGTCTCAGTAACAAACTTCAATGCAGAAAGAAAGCAAAAACAATTGCTGAATGAAAGTTTGCTCTCATTAGTGGAGTTAAAGACACTGAGTGACAATGTTTACTATGTTAAATCCTCCAAGTCTTGACTTACCACCCCTTCCTGTTGCCCTTTTGATCACCTCTACTACTACTCTCCTCATTCCACAAAGGGGATCCTTGCACATCCTGGCAGTGTCCCCAGATTAGAGGAGTTATCTGGCTATCCCTGTTTACTGACTCTTCCCAGCTTCTGCTAGGCTCACTTCCTTACCTTGCTCAGGGACTTCGCCCAGATTCCACCAGCTCAATGAGTCCTCCCTTTATCAGGTATTAATACTTCAACCTGCTCCCTGGCAGCTCTGCCATTTTAGATACTTGTGTCCTGGTCTATTTTTTTTAACTACAGGTTGGGTACCACTTATCTAATATACTTGCAAACAAATGTATTTTAGATTTTGGCTTTGCTTTTTTGCAAGCATTAAATTATTTGCATATATGTAATGAAATATCTTTGGCATGGGATGCAAATCTAAATGCAGGATTTGTTTATAATATATATTTATGAGAATATCAATATATTCTTTAAACATGTTCCTTGAAGATCATGTCATACAATAATTTTAATAATTTTGTTTATGAAACTATTTCACAGCATGGAATTTTCCATTCGTGGCATCATGTTGGTATCCAAAAAGTTTTAGATTCTGGAGTAATTTGGAATTTGAGCTTTTCTATTGAGGATACTCAATCTGTAGCATTTTTCACAACAATTTATTGTTCATTTTCCCACCTAATAGAATGTGAGCTTCATTTTGGCAGAAATTAGTTACTTCACTTGTTGATGGGTTCCTGCCACCTACAGCAGTATACAATGGAGGCATGCAGTAAATATCTGCCCAATGAACTGACCCAAAGGAAAAAATGTAATACTTTAACAACAACCAATTTTATTATTTACATTATATCTTTGTACATTGTTAAATTTTGCCTGCAAATACAAATTTGAAACCATTTAAATCCAGAATTAGGATTTTGAGGGAAGTTTCACAGATTCACCTCCTTCAGACTATCCACATGAACAGAAACAAATGAACTGGGACACCTAGTCACTGAGCTCCATTAATTTGAGGTCCAGTTGGATTTTTTTACAGTTCCTTTCCTGGAGGAACTAGACAGTGTCATACCCTCAGAACTCACTCTGGTTTCTCCACATTCCATTTGAAGTCCTGAACGCAAAGAGGGAACCTTTGTCTCCCCTTAATTTCAAGGATGAATGCTTCCATGCCCATTTCTTCCCGAGTTGCCCCTAAAACTTCATCCAAACTCTATTTATACTGGAGTTAAAACTCTGAAGCTTGTGGCTTGTTTTTTTTCTAATGCAAACCAGGGGTTTGGGGAAGATATACCTCTGTTAGTAAAGTGCTTTCTATTGCTTTGATAAACACATAACCAAAAAGCCACTTGAGGAGGAAATGGTTTATTTGGCTTTCCCCTCTCACATTGAGGGAAGTCAGGGACGGACCTAAAGATAGAGCAATGAAAGGAACCATGGAGGAATTCTCCTCAGTGGCTTGCTCAACTATGTTTCTTACACAACCCAGTGGTGGCATTACCCACTGGGAGCTGGGCCCTCCCACATCAATCATTAATCATTAAAATGCTCTACAGACCAGCCTACAAACAATTTGATGGAGGCATTTTCTCAATTGAGGTTCTTTCTTCCAAGATGATACTGGCTTATATCATTAGCAAACAAACAACAACAACAACAAAAAATGTTCAGCCAGCACAGATGAAAACCTGAGTTTAATCCTTATCACCCACCATTTTTGCTGTTTGTGTGTATTTGGTATGTGGTTTGAGGACTGACCACTTTGTATCAGGTAGCCATTATAAGGATAATCCTTGGAGAGGTCATTCTCTTCTCTCAGCAGTCACCTATATGTCTTTGCCTAGGGGTGAGACTTTTTCCCCTTCCATGCTAACATGTCCATTGGTATTGCCATTGTTAAGATCTTGTTTATGCAGCCATTTCTAGGAAAGACTGTTTCACAACAGACTTTGGAGTATTCTGGCTCTTACAATCTTTCTGTCCCATCTTCTGTGATGCTCACTGAGCTATGCCCGCAAGAACTATGATACAAATGTATCCAGTGGGACTGGGCTCCCCATGTGTTGATCTCTGCATTGTGTCCAGTGGTGTTTTCTGTAATAGTCTCCATTTGCTTTACATAGAGACTTCTTTGATGAGATGTGGTGGCTACACTTACCTGTGGGTATAAGAATAAGATTTAGAATGTAGTTAAGGATTCTTCTGGTCTAGCAAAGTGGCAGTAGTAGATTCTCTTCTAAGAGCCATGACTTCAATAACCCTGAAAACATATACACACAAAGAACAAAAAGGGGTCTAGTGGGTTGTAATTAAATATTTTTGCATGGATATATACGTATGTGTGTATGTATGTATATTTAACAATAATAATGAAAGAAAAGGAGATTATCAATTTTAGAGTGGGGAGCATGGAGAGAGTTGAAGGGATGTGATTTGGGAAGGGCTAGAGGATACAAAGGAAAGGGAAATGTTGGGACTATATTCTAATTAAAATGTAGTAAAAATGGTAAAATACGAAAGTAATAAAAATAGAATAAATGATACAAAATAAAAGCTAGGTTTGGGTGGTGCTTGCCTATAATCCCTGCACTGAGGAGGTGGAAACAAAGATCTCTAGGGCTTTCTGGCTAGCCAGCTTAGCCTAATCAATATTCTCCAAGTTCAGTGAGAGATTGTCTCAGAAACACCCAGGATTGACTTCTACACACACACACACACACACACACACACACACACACACACACACACACACCAAAGAAACAACACTCATATCAATACTCACTCTAGCTACACTTGAACTCTCATGATCCCTTCACATCATACACACCAGCCCCAGGCCCTGCCCAAGCCCCAGCCACAGCAGCATACTTTGAAGTTGGGCAATGGTTTTCCAGGTGAGCTAAATTCAATCTTTGCTATACCTTGATTACAAATGTCCATGAAACATTAAGGACATACTTCTGTCACTGCTATTTTCACTACCAAAACATAAACAACACAAACAAGAACAGAAAAGGAACAAAGCCCATGCTTGTTTTCATGTGAGTTAAGATTCCTACCTACTATCAAATTAACCTGTACTACTCAGAAATAGCCTGGGCCCAGGCTCCTTAGTGCTATGTCAGTCTCTAGTATGACCTCATCATACAAGGAGCCTGACTAAATCAGCATTCGTCAGGCACCTTGTAGAGTACAGTTCACAGAAGCAGTCTATAGAATGCCTTATCACATTTAACCTTCATACAGTCCCATGTGTGAAGCATTATGAATTCTGTCTCACAAAGAAGGAAACAGGTGTAGAGGGGGTAAGGGAATCACAAGACCTGGAAGAGAAACCAAGTTCTCTTACCAATCCCCTTCTTTCATTATGACCTTGAAATCTGAACATTATTTTTCATCCAATAGGAACTTAAAAGTCTGTTGTTGTTGTGGTGGTGGTGGTGGTGGTTGTTGTTGTGGGCTTATTTCTTTTCGTTATATGTGTGTGTGTGTGTGTGTGTGTGTGTGTGTGTGTGTGTGTGTGTGTGTTTATTTTGTATGTGTGTTTGTGCAGCACATGTGTGACTGGTATGGAGGCAAGAATGGGGGTATCAGATCCCCTGGAACTGGAGGTATGAACTGACATAAACAACCATGTGTGTGGTGGGACTGAACCCAGATCCTCTGCAGGAGCAGCAAGTGCTCTTGACCACTGAGCAACCTTTTCAGCTCCAGAAGGCAGCAGTATTAAAGGAGAATCTCACTTGTCTTGTCTCCTGTTGTCTTTGACCCCTACTAACTATGGCTTTCTCCCGGCCTATAGTACACAGAGATAGGAACCCAAAGGAGGGCTAAATGCAAAATAAAACGACACTCATTTTGAAGATATGTCTCAGCAAATGAGTTTCCTATGCAGCTGGCTGCAAGCCCAGACCCTTTCACTGAAACACCCTAAATAATTCAGATTCATTGGTCTATAATATAAAGTGCAAATGTAGCTCGTTTTTAGACCAGTTCTGAACATCAATAATAATAAACCAGAGATAATGTATTTTGTTTTCATAGAATTGGAACAAATTGCAGTATCTGTGCAAAAGCACATTGGATCAAGGGGCAGAGAGGGCAAGGTCTAATTTTTACAGCAATCCAATTTTCCAGAGAGTTTATTTCTGAAAAAAAAAAAAGGATTCTAGTCCCTTAGTCAACAGAACCTAGACACATGCTTCCATCAGATAGTAGGGAAAGAACATGGGACTCTACACAGTATATGTCAAGGAGTTTGGCTGTATATAAAGTATGATTAGTAACTAGACATTTCTCTTTGATTCCTCCCTTTTTTTTCTCTCTTTGATCTTTGATACCACTTTATCTCATGGTTTTCTTTCTCATATGTGGAGTCCTACAGACCTAGTTAGCAAGTTTTCTATAGCTCAAAATACATAGCTCTCTCCTGGTTGGATTCAGCCTATCCCCCTTGAAGCTTTCTTAGTAGTATGAATGGAGTCCAAACACTAAGAAAACAGACTTAAAGGTTCCCTTCTGTTCCTAACCCTTCCCCTCTTTCCTATTCCTTCTTCCTGTTTTTATGTTTTTATGTTTGTTTGTTTGTTTGTTTGTTTGTTTGTTTTACTATCAGTGTCTTCAAAGACTGTAAATGTAGAAACTTCAGAAAACATAGAGTGGAAACAGCAAATCTATTCGCAAAGCACATCCAATAGTACTTTTAAGTTGCTGATGGTGCACTGAACATTGTTGCTCACTTGGAAGCTAAGTGGTAGGCAGAAAACCATCTTTAAGCTTCTGGCACCTTCCCTGTTGTCACAGACCCTTGCTTCATATGATAGGTAAGTGGATACTTTTGCCCTGTGCCTGGGCTGCCGGTTCCTTGAATGGAAACACCTTTATTGTCTAACATGGCTTGCTCTGCAATTCTTATAATAAAATGGCCTTGTATGAAACATGGATAGTATTTGTTGAAGTGGTTCAATTTGATTTGATTTATGGTTAACCTGTTCCCATTCCATGAAGAAACATGGACAATCCCTCTCGTTGTCTGCTGATATAGTAATTTCCACGCAAATGCATCTTCCCTATTCCCTCCGATTGTATGCCTCCCTCTGTGCAATTTCCAGGATGGCATTGGCCTTTGCTGCAGTGGCTTCTAGAAACTCGGAAGAACAGGTGCATCGCTTGCCCATCTGCAGTTAGCTTGCAGCTTGGTAGTTCTTCCTTGACCCTAAAAATCAGAATCCTAGCCTCATATGTCTACTCAGTTTATCTGATAATTCAATTTCTTAACCTGTCTTAAAGATGGAGATCAGTGTGAGTCAAATCCTTGTTTAAATGGTGGAAAATGCAAGGATGATATTAATTCCTATGAATGTTGGTGCCAAGTTGGATTTGAAGGAAGGAACTGTGAATTAGGTAAGTAATTGTTTTATTATTCATAGTCCACAGTTTCCTTTTTAAACCAGATGAAACAGGAAATTGAAATATTTATATACCATACATTTATCTTAAAACACACTTCAAAGCTTATAAACATTCACTTTCTCTGTAGTCAGTTTCCAGGGTATGAATTCAATCTAATATTGAGTGGTAATGTCCCATTCCCTTTACTTATTAATCCTTAATACAGTCATATGTGCTCAGTACCATTATTATTTCCATTTTATGAACATTAGAAGACTGCAGCACCAACATAAGAGGTATAAATGGTTGAGCGAGGAAGTGAACTTCAGCTGAACTGTACACAAAACTCTTAGAAAACTGCACCCATAAAATGGTTTGAACTTGTGACTGAGTTGCTGTCAATCTAGGCAGAGGCAGTGGATAATCTATAGACCTGGGCAAGACAGGCTCCCATGTAATAGGAACTCTTCCAGATGAACAAAGCATTTTATAAGTTAAATTTGTTATAAAGATCAGAGATTGTTCCTCAATCAACAGTATTGATTATATCAAATAGTAACAGGAAAAAAGTAACTTGCAAATGTAATATTTTGGTTTTTTTCTTCTAATAGCCTAGAATATTTCTTTTTTTGAGATTTTTGTGATTTGCACAGTAAAACCCGAAGTCCTTCTCCTACTTGGTTACTGCCTCTGGATGCAGTATTGCTGACATTGTGACTGAGACAAGCATATGGTACCAAGAAAAGATTTTGCACTCTGAAATTCTAGGAGAATAGAGGTACAATCCAAAAGAAAGAATTTAACACCACAGGCTACATGGCTAAAGATAAAGAGTAGAAAAGTATCAGGACACTATTAAGGCTGTATAGCCACCTCTCTGACAGATGAACAAGGCATAAAATGAAATGAAAGGCAGCAGCTGCACTTGCCCTATTGAGAAAGGGGATGAAAGTCCCTGTCATATTGTTCAGTACCAAGGGGAAGTTCATTGATCATCTTCCTTTGAAATCTGAAAGATCTCAGAATAAAAAGAAAAGTTGAAAGGACAAAGGAATTTCAAAAGAAAGAATGAATGCTAGTGGGTGAACTAATATACTCGGGCTGGACTTCCATTTGTTTAGGGTGCCTCGTGTAGCAATAAAGCACTGTTTGAGTTCCACTCCTGTGGGTGTGTTAATTGGCTCAACATCTCTAAAGTGCCATTTGTTCTGAAAGATCATCATTTCAAATTCAGACTTACTTAGTGAAATTTAGTCCTCATATTCCAGATATATACAGGAATGCTTTGAGTAGTTACTCATTATTGGCTCAAATGATGAAACTATTGGAGTGTAGGGAATGAATAACATAGTCTGTTATAATTGAAGGCCACAGTGTAGTAGATGGTCATTGCAAACATAAAGGTTGGGATGGAACGATGGTCCAACAGTTAAGAGCATTGGCTGCTCTTCCAGAGGAACTGGGTTCAGTTCCCAGAGCCTACATGGTGGCTCACAGCTCTCTGTAACTACAGTTCCAGGAGATACAAAGCTCTTTTTTGGCATCTGCAGTCACCAGATATGCACATAGTATACAAACTTACATGAAGATAAACCTTACCCATACATATAAAAATATAGTAGTGAAATAATTTTAAATTTTAAAATGTCTCTCTAGTTTTATTTATTTTTATTTTATGTTTAAGGATTTTTTTTTCTGCATGTATATCTGGGTACCATGTGCATGCAATGCCCAAAAATGCCAGAAGGTGGCATGGGATCCTCTGGAACTGAAGTTAAAAGTGGCTGTGAGCCTCCACGTGGGTTTTGGGAATGAATTTGGTTTGTTTGAAAAAGCAGCAAATGCTCTTAACCAATGAGCCAGCTCTCTGGTTCTTTATCTTGTTTTAAAAGACAGTTTGAAAGGAGGAAGAGAACAGCCTCGAGGAATGTGAACATAAGCTCAGAAATGCTCTAACAATATGTGGGAGGTTACGGTCCATAGAGAAAAAGTGCTAAATCTACAACTGGCAACATCTCAATGCTCCTTGGTTCCCACATTTGTGTTTGTTCAGGGCTCTGTAGCTGTATTGCAGCCACCACCATACTTAGCCTCTGGGGTATATTGATCAGATCCAACCAATTTGATAAAGGGTTTTTTAAAAAATCTTTTCAGCTCAGCTGGTTCAGAAACAAAATGGAATTCTGTCAGAATGCTCTTTATCTCAGACACTAGAGGAGAGCAACAACAAAGCATGTACAAACTCCCATTTAAGCTTCTTGCCTCAAGCTGAACTGAGCAAGAATCTGAGAAGTCACTAGGCGGCACAATTTATAGGTGTGTGGGCCCATGCCTCACCTTGTGTATGAAAAGCAAAGATTTCCACTGTTGTGATCTTTTGCTTTCTTTCCCCCTGTTCATCAGAGCTCCTAGTCAGGGGAATGAGAAGCAACCATTTGGGGCATGCTTTCTAGTTAGAAAATAAAAAACAAGAATTAATTGGCTACTGTCTGCCTTTGGCTAGAATAAAGATCTCCGGATTTCCTCTGCTGCAGAAGAAATCCAAGTATCTATCATCAGGTAGATCAAGGTCTGCAAGAATCTAGTCATCTTTTCCTCCTAAAGAATGCAAGAAACATTTCCCAACAGAAAAACAGAGTGGGAAGAAAAAATTACAAAAGAATATTCTCTGAGGTTGTTTTATGGTTTGGGGTTTTGTTTGTTTTAATTTTAATTTTTGCAGGACACCCCAGACACAACTATCTCCTTTATTGTGTATTTTTGGAATGGGAAAAATATTTCATTTAGCTGAATAACATATGTTTTCTGGCAAACCTGTTAAACAGAACAAAATTTTGTTAAGGCTGTGATGGCCAACCTGGTGCTGTCAGGACCAAGGAAAACCCATACCCAACCTAGTGTTTGACATCTAAGTGCTCAACAACTGATTAATGAGTTCCATTCTGTTTCTCAGGTCCTGCTCTATTGACCTTTCCCCTGGAATTTCTTGCGCTATAATTCTATTTCTAGAATCCTGAGCCTTTGGCTGCAGGGAAAAGTCTGCTGATGCTACAGCAATACATCCCACCGCATGAACCAACCAAGCCAGGGATCAAGAGTAGCAGCAACATGCTGGGCCAGAAAGGGCAATGGCAAATAAGAAAATGATTGAAAGGTCTGGTTGCTTAACCAAGGACACAGAAGCAGAATAGAGAAATCACACCAAGTTTACTGATTCCCGTCACACATGCCCTGGACACTACAAGTTTGTTCTCACCACCTGCCTCTGTTAACTTATCACAATCTCAATACTGATGGAACATTTTCTACACACGGTATTTGATTTGGCTGAACACTTCAGTATTGCTTTGTAGCAACGATATGATAGCTAGGAACAAGAAAAGAGCCAGAAATGTTATCGACACTCATGAGGGGAAAGGTTCTAAAAACTAAATAAATGCAAAACAGCAGATGCCATCTTTTTTTTATCGTGTACTTGGTGGGTTATTGGCAGCAAAAATTAAATCTCAGGTTGGTTCTTTTATTCCCTCCTCTTGATAACAGTTTATTTTCCTCTCCTGATTTACTGGACTATCAGTAAGCACTATGAACTATTTATCATATGAATGTTAAACAGTTAAAATAAATACACATACAGAAAGGATGCTGGATATGGAGGCAATATACAAATACCAGTTGTGTTTATACCAGAATAAATAGAAAATAAGTTTTGGGATGGAATTAAGTGTTTAGTAATAAAAGAAAGATATACAAGTATTCTAAACACACTCTGGCTTCTGTGGATACACACACACACACACACACACACACACACACACACACACACGCACATTAGTATTTTAACAAATAATAGAATAGATGGATGAAAATTGTATTAATACAATGGACTGCTACACAGCAATGTAAATGAACTACTGCTATACAAAAGCATATAGATGAATCTCATAAATACATTGCTAAAAGAGAAGACTATCTATGCTGTTTACATAAAGTTCATGAACTACCAAAGCTATTTACTCTGTTTGAAGCCCACGTAGTGATAACTTCTGTAAAGGGGAAATGATTGGGGGAACATTACAGGACTTGTGGGGGTTGGTAATGTCCTATTTATTAACCTGTGCAGCATTTGAACAGGTGCATTTACTTTGCAAAACTTGACACAAAAGTTTTATTGCTTAAATCAATAGGTTTCTAGTTGTAGCTCATGATTTAGTCAAAGTACAATATCCAATTAATTGATTATACATAAAATCAAAATGTTGCCAACCCCATCTTCATGAATTACTGAGAATGTTATTTTGCCTCATTTTCTACTCTACTCTTAACTCAATGCTCCCAGGTTGTTGTTTCAACTTATGTTTAACCCAGACATGAGCCTGTAGTTTTGTATAGTTTTTGAAATGTGTATCAGATAAGCCATTAGGGTTTTCCTTTTCTTTTCTTTTAGATGCAACATGTAACATTAAAAATGGCAAGTGCAAGCAGTTTTGTAAAAATGGTGCTGATAACAAGGTAATTTGTTCCTGCACTGATGGATACCAACTTGCAGAAGACCAGAAGTCCTGTGAACCAGCAGGTCAAAATCTAAATAAGTTATTTAATGAAAATCTCTATTTGGATCTTTAGCATTTGAACTACCTTATTTTAGACTTTTTTAAAAGGTTTATTTCTTTTTATTTTATATGTATGAGTGTCTTGTGTGCATGTATGTATTATACATTGTATGTACAATGCCCATGGAAGTAAGAAGAGGGCATCAGATCCCCTGAAGTGGAGTTACAGAGGCTGAGTGGGCTAATATGTAGGTGCTTCCCTAACCCTCCATAACTCCAGTTAAATAACCCAGGTTCAGTTCCTTTGCACAAGCAGTCAGTGCTCTTAACTACTGAGAAATCTCTTCAGCCCCTAGGTTTCCTTATTTCAATACTTACTTGTATCTACTTCCTTTGAAACTGAACAAAAGCTTAGTAGCTTGAAGTGAACAAATTAAGTTTACAAATGGCATCATCACTTAAATTCAGTAATTATGTACAGCCTGAATTTTTTTTCTGGGTCCATGTTTTTTCTAAGATTTCTATATCACAAAGAAATGGATTTGTGTGATCTCTATGTGAAATATTTGAGGTTCAACATATCAAACTAGTAATATGTTACCATAGCATAAAAGACATATAAATACATGGCTGACTTGTAAGTTTCTAGGAAAAAGATGCCAAATGTTAAGCATAAGTCTGTTGGAGGCCGAGTTAGTTCAGTCTATTAAAGTTACTTCCTGACTTGAGTCATAAACTGGGTTTCTATACTAGCTGTCAGACTGGATCCAGCAACTGTTTATGCACTCCTAGGCTGAGCCACACCATCTTTACAGTGAAGGGCAAAGCAACGTTTCACAGATGTGTGAGCATGCAACCATGTTGACAGATCATCACTGTGTTTAGCACATCTCCACATACATTGCTCACCTCTGAAGCCATAGTTTTGACTGGTGGGGGGAGAGAGAGAAACTTTGCAAGACCAAAAGAAGGAAAATAAAGTGCCTGATGTGCAAACCTGAGGACCTGAGTTCAAATCCCCAGCACTCAAAAGCCAGGCAGTATGAACCCATGACCCCAGCACTGAAGGGAAGGGGGAGATAGGACCAGCCAGAAATAGTGAGCTCCAGGTTCAGGGAGAGGTCCAGCCTCAAAAGTAATTTAGAAAGCAGAGAAATAGACGAGGATGCTTGCTGTCAACCCCTGGCTTCCACACATACAGGCTTGGTTTCTCACACCAGCCCACATATGTGCCCACACACATATACCCCACCTACAAATAAAAAAGAAGTACAATTTTGAAGCAAGCCAGGTACAGTTTCTCTTGTGTTTCCAAAGCAAGATTTTTTTTATTAAATTGGTACATTCAATTATGAACCATTCCTCTATAACTGTAGATTTGATACCTATCTCAGTAATGTACCAGGCAGAGGAAATTAAAGAGAGGCCCAGAATACAAGAGTGTATCTGCTACAAGTAAAATGAAAAGCCTTTGATGCTTCACCTTCTGCCTGTCCTTCCTTCTGCCTGCTTTGTCACATACATTGCCTTACCACAGCTTGCCTTAGGGGTGTGTGTGTGTGTGTGTGTGTGTGTGTGTGTGTGTGTGTGTGTGTGTACATACACATCTGTTCACACTTAACATTAAAAAGCTAACTTCCAATGAAGGCAGCTGGCACAGAAGCTTAGTCCTTAGAAGCCCTTCCATGCTCTAAGAGAGGAAAATGAAAATTGAAAAGCACCTCCAACTATTAAGAGTTCCATTTGAATGTAGCCTTAGCTTTAGCAGAGGAAGTAGGCCAACCTTAAAATAAGCTGTCCTGCCTTTTCAAAGATAACAGTCCCTTTTCTCAAGCCATTGTTGATCCTGTACATTTATGCATGAGTATTTTAAACTAATTTCCTATTTTTCAACTACAAACTGCCTTCATGATACTTAGCCATAGCTGGTTGCTATAGAAATGTCTGGTATATGAAACGTAACTAAAAGGAGAGGAAACCATGAAAATGAAGTGTGAGGTGACTTTGTTTGGCTACAAATTTCCATACTGGTAGCCCCCAGTATATCAATAGATGATTTGTTGGGAAATAAGTCAAACCAAGCGGGGGTGGGGGGGGGGGGGGGGGGGGGATGGTCAGATCTTAGTAAACATGGCTTTGGTTATCATATTAGTAACCTATACCTATTTGGTAAATTTTGACAAATACAATTGAATCATAATGAGCTCTCTTCAAAATTCCACATTAGAATCTCCAGTGCATTAATAGTCTACAAAAGAGACCCTGTTAATAACATGTAATAGAAGCCCCTTGTATCTTATCCTAAAAGGAAAGTTACATAGCACCCCTTCCAGATTTCCAGTCTTGGGAAGGGATCTTGGAAGTAAGATGTTAATTGAGAAGCTAGATAGAAAATCATTAGATTTTTTAAAGTCTTAGTAAATTTGATTTCAGAACACCTATTTAATTTCCATAAAGATGGTGGATTCCAAAGCTAAATGATCTCCCCCATGGAAGTGTTAAAAACTTTGCATGAAAATAACAGTCAGCCTTTTAGTTTGAAATTATATTCATTTTTTAAATGTAGATGGGCCTACTTCTCCAAAGTGACAGCAATGCATGAACTTCATTCTCAGTTTTTGTAATGCAGTTCCATTTGCTACTGTGAAATATCAGAATATTCTCCTTTTTTCTATTTCTGTAGTTCCATTTCCATGTGGAAGAGTTTCTGTTTCATACAGTTCTAAGAAGCTCACCCGTGCAGAGACTATTTTTTCTGACATGGGCTATGAAAATTCTACTGAAGCTGAATTCATTCTGGATGACATCACTGACGGCACCATTCTGGATAACGTCACCGAAAACAGTGAATCACTGAATGACTTCACTCGAGTTGTTGGTGGAGAAAATGCCAAACCAGGTCAAATCCCTTGGCAGGTATTCTATATTGATAGTGTGTTTACAAGCTGGAGCACAGATGGCAAAAGACAGGCTGGATAAGGAGCAGTGCTAGGACATTAGAAAGACCTATGGGAATTGTGAGATGTACTTAGGTAGATTTCATCACTCAGCAAAATAAAAACCCCAAAGGTAAGCATCTGGTGAAAGACATGTCCAGGGACAGCTACCAGACTAGGTCAAAAAAGAATTTGGTACTAAACAAACAGCACAGTAGGATTCCAAACAACTGGTCAGCAACAGGGATGTCCGTAAATGAGTGCTCTCTCTCTCTCTCTCTCTCTCTCTCTCTCTCTCTCTCTGTCTGTCTCTTTTTCTCATACACACACACAGACATACACATTGGGGCTCACAGAACGCCTTCAGTCCCTGGGCAAACTAGTGAGTAAGAAAGTCTCTAGGCCCAGACAAAGTGATGGGAATAAAGAAAGGGACTCACATGGAAAGGATTAAGGCAAAAACTAGTTTCCGAGAATAAACATATGAGGCCTGATCTACTGCCACATTTCTCCAAGTCTGGCAGTATGCCCAGATCACCAAGAATTTGTTAGGCATGCAATGCAATCTCACACTCCATCCCATTCCCACTGGATTCGAACCACTAGAGGGAGAGGCCCAGCAAGCAGGGTTCAAAGAAGCCCTCCAGGTCATTCTGACACATACCGTAGTTTGAAAAACCACTGTACTAAAGGAAGCACACAGAAACCAGCTTCCAAAATACCAAACAAAGGACTCGATCTACAGTCTTCCAAGTGTGTTCTGCACACAAACTGCATGTAAAGTATTAACTTTGTGTATTTTTTTTATATAACCAAGAGTGAGATTAGTAGCAAAGCGCAGGACTTAATTATCCATTCAACCAAAGCCTCAGTGATTCCATTTATGAGGGAGACAAGCCACCTCCTCCCACCTCAATACAAGGAGCTAGTCTGTCCTTACATAAATTGGGCTGGCCCATAAGATAATCAGCACATGTGGTTACTTAAATTAACTGGTTAAAAGAATCGTTTCCTCTGTGACTTCTGCCACACTTCCAAGGAATAATGGTCACATATGGTTGGTGACTATTATACTGGAAAGGGCAAGTATAAAGAGAATATGTCTATCATTACATGTATTTCTGTTAGTGTATATATCATGGTTTAGTCTATTTTAAAACTCCTTAGGCCACAGTCATAATTTAGTAGCGATTTCAATGATTCTTCACACCAAAATATTTTCTCTAGTGGAGTACAGACTTTTACAACATCAGAGACTGATAGTTTGGATAACACTGCAATCATCAAATTAGTTACAATTTAAGGAACCAAGGTCAATTAGATGTATTCATCTAAATTTCAGGTTTAACAACACTAGAAATTTCTGAAATGAGCTAGGAATCCTAGCTGTGTGTCTATCCAGGAGTCTTCAAAATGTCTGCTACTCTGCCATTTTCTAGGATAGCAGGTGAAAGATATTAAACATATACTTGGGGACAGAAGAAAATCCTACAGACACTGAATATGTAGACAATAAAATGTCTCTGTATATACATTTATATACCCTCTATCCCTCCTTAAAGGCACCTTCCCAGAGCTACATCCCTTATGCCCTCATCATCCTTTCCCTTGCTCTCTCACATCTTTATTGCTTGTCATTATCCTTGGTCAAACTAACCCTCTCTAGTGACCTTTGAACAATCTCTCTTGGGTTCGGACACTGTAATGTTTTCATTCTATTTAACATCAGTGTAGCTAATTCTAATTTTGTTTTTTTGTGTTCTTGTGTATTTTCATTCCTTATATTTCCAATGTCCATGTGCAAGGTGGTTGCATTAGTTACTTTTATGTTGCTGTGATAATGCACCATGACCAAAGGCAACTTAAGGAAGGGGGAGCTTACTTGGGCTTATGATTGCAAAGGGATAAGAATCCATCATGGAGGGAAGGCATAGCAGCTGGAGATCAGATCTTCAACCACAAACATGAAGCAGAAAAATGGAAGTAGGGTGAAGATACAAACTGTCAAAACCCACCCTAGTGAAGGGCAGGCAGCCCCTGCTCCCCAGACAGCACCACTAGCTGGGAACTGAGTGTTCACATACCTGAGCCTATGGGGGGACATGTTCTATTTCAACCACCACAGTGGCCCTAACAAAAAAATCTTATTTTGTGACAGTGACCCTCAACGTGCCAGAGGGGCATAAAGCAATTTTATCCAGGGACTTATTAACAACAACTATCATTTCCTCTTTAAATAAGGCAGAATGTTTTTAATTCCAAGATGTTTACATTGAGGTCTTAGTATTGCCACCCTTAGTAAATGAAATGGCAAAAATATGGGGTAGGGGAATATAGTCTCAGTTTAGTCACACAGTCTGGAGTTTCCACCCACTCCCTTTAGAGCAGGTGCTTAGCAGGTACCTATGCATAGCAGACCCTGGATTTTCTTTTCAAGGAGAAGAGACTAGTAGATGGTGGCTGCAGCTCTGTGAGGAAGAATACAGTGGTTCTGAAACATGAGACATCACTTGCAACTGTCACCTAGAAAAGTGTCTCAAATTGCTTGTGTTTCCTAAAAGCCTTTCCAATCAGAATTGGTTCTTTTGTTAGGCAAGTCGGTGGGAGAGAAGAACAAAGTGAGCACTCAAGTGAAGAAATCCCACAAGGAACAAAGAATTGACTTTCATCAGGAATCACCAATAGTTTGAATAAACTAGACATGTTTCATCTATTAAAAGGTTTAGGTGGAGCTGGTGATATCTCAGTAGTAGAGTGCTTGCTTAACATGAGTATAGCCCTGGGTTCAAGTCTCAGTAAGAGAGAGAGACAGAGAGAGAGAGAGAGAGAGAGGGGGGGGGGGTTAGTTTAGACGTTTAGGTGAGCTGTCCACATCTTTCCAACTGGAGACACTTGTTTCTTTGTAGACTTAAAGTGGTCTGGCCTCAGTTAAGAAGCCCTTTCTGAGCACCTGGCTTAGTTGCTAGGCTGGACCTGTTTAACATGAGACTTGTTTGAGCAAACATTTTGGAATTGTCAACTGGCAGAGCTCTTCTGATCCCAGGAGCAGTGGTTCTAGCTTGAGGGTCACAGAGTGTTCATCCACAGTGAGAAATCCATGGGCACAGGCTACGGGATTTCAGGAAGCCTGGCCACTGTTATTTCTCATCTCACATCTCTCACCTTATTTCATGGTTTCCACTTCATTTGCCTGCCTAGTGGCCAGGGCCTAAGTGGCCTGTCAGCACAAGTTGACAGGATTACTTCCTTGGAACTCTAGGGGTCCTGAGCAGCATAGCTACCCAATTCAGGCTAAAATTCCTCCCCTCCCCTCCACCTAGACCAAAGATGCAAACCAGGCAAGAAGTCTTTCCTTAAGGTTCTCCTGCAGTGGGATCAGAGCTCCTTGGAAAAGAAGCAGGGACTCTAAGGAGCACTTCAGGGGATGAGAGGGGAAGCCAGAGAGTTAAGTGTACCACACCTTAACAGAAACACACTTTTCTTAGAAACTGTATCTAGCCAACTAAGAAACTGAAACAGCTATATAGGAAAGAATAAAAGCTTTGGAACGAGAGGGAGGGAAAGGCAAACTGTAACGTCTATATTACTAGATCACTTTCATCAACAACTCCAAAGTAGAGGTTTGAGGAAACCACACAGTGCCTGTCTAGAGCTTTCATCTCATTTTTCTCCCACAGTCATGGCTAGTTCAACATCTCTGTGCATGTGCACACCTTTTCTGCTTTCTGCTAAGGTCTGTGTAACCCTATATAAGAAATACTTGATCTTTTTCAAAGATGTATTTTATCTTATTTTTGTACTTTTGGCATAAATATCCTCCTTAAACATCTTTATTTCCCCTATTCTTGGCTTTCCGCAGCTTGGTCACCAAGCTGTCATTGAAGCAACCTGAGCTCTTTGCTTATGCTGCTGTTTGCACAGATCTACTCCTTCAACTAGGTTATAGCCCCATGACAGACAGCAAACTTAAAATATTAATGAGCCAGAGATGTTTTCTTTTACGTGCCGACCATAATTCTACAGAAATGTTTTACTTATCTATGTGTGATGGTGCACATCTTTAATTCCAGCACCTGAGTGGAACAGACAGGTGGATCTTTGATTTCAAGGCCAGCATGTTCATCACAGTAAGTTTCAGGACAGCCAGGGCTACATAGTGAGACCCTATCTCAAAAACAAAACAAGAGTCGGGCAGTGGTGGCTCACTCCTTTAATCCCAGCACTCAGGAGGCAGAGGCAGGCAGATCTCTCTGAGTTTGAGGCCAGCCTGATCTACAGAGCTAGATCTAGGACAGCCAGTCTAACAAAGACACCCTGTCTCAAAAAACGCCGAAAGAAAGGAAGAAAGAAAGAGAGAGAGAGAGAGAGGGAGGGAGGGAGGGAGGGAGGGAGGAAGGAAGGAAGGAAGGAAGGAAGGAAGGAAGGAAGGAAGGAAGGAAGGAAGGAAGGAAGAAAAAGACATCTTATTTAAAAAAAAAGACAACTTTGTATTATTATTCCTAGCTAAGATGATGAAATTACAATTAGGAGGAAAAAAAGAAAATAACACATGCAATCTCACCTACATCTATAAAGCTAGTTTGGACAGACCATTTGGACTATTAACCTGCAGTATTGTTTAATGAAGTGCATATCAATGGCCATTGTATTTAATGGTTGTAATTAAACCAAAGTGAGTATTCCTTATGTGCTCAACAAAATAACCTACTGCCATGAATTTGGTGAGCAACATCTGTGGTACATCACGTACCTTGCTTAGTATAATAGAAAATATGGAATAAACGGTGTTATTAAAAAAGCTAGAATAGATGGCAAGTGAGAATAAGAGCTTTCGTGAACTCACAGGGAAAGGCTAGGCTGGAGTTAAAGGTTAAAGAGAACAATGAGACAACAGCTATTTTCATGGGCTGCCATTGCATGAAGAACAGAAATACAGATTGAATGTATTTTGTCATTGTGTTTAGGTATGTTGGAGATGGGGGCTGTTAGAAGAAAGTTCCTAGTAGGCTGTAACCATGAAAATAATTGACAGATCAGAATTCAGATGCCTTGCTCAGAACATATGCTTTCCTATTTTTCCCCTTCATTCTCTGAAGTCTTACAAGAACTTGTCCTTGGCCAAGCAGACAGCTCATCTTCCAAGTAGGTAATATTTAGATAGCTATGATCCTGAGATGGCCAAGCAAACATTCCAAACCATGCATTTGTAATATTTTAATTGTAAAAATTGTAAATATATCTTAGTCCTTTTTTCTTAGCAAAGGTGTTTGCTAAAATTTCTAATACCAATTAGGGATTGGCAAAGAATGCTCTTCAGACTTAAAAGGACACAACCATATTTCTCAGTCATCCACTGGAAAGCAGTAGAATCTCCAGGCATCAATCCTTTGGCAGAGTCATATAAAATATATTATAGTGTATGTGCCCAGGGGCTATGGATATCTTTCAGGTTGACCTCTCTAAGCTGAGAGGTGTTCACTAATTCTATAATAGTACCTACAAGAGAAACAGCATTCCATTGTGGCATGTTAATTCTACTTCCAGAGAAAGATGTGTTGGATTGTAATATTCAGGACCAGCATAGAACCATGTTACCCAAATTTTTGTGATGGTAAAATCATTTGAGATCGGGATCAGCCACCTCATCTTTTGAACAGTACACTTGTACATTGCCCTAGCCTGAGAAGGGTCTCATATCAAAGGCTTAAGTATTCTGTATTTGTGTTCCATAACTGAAGTCTAATGAGACAATAGAACAAGTGCTGAGGACCTGGACCCTTGGATTATTGTAGTCACATCTTTTACCTTCTACCCATAGTGCCTCATAGAACCTACCTCTCCCTACACTTGCCCAGTGACCACTACCATCCCCTAACCAATGGCACTCAGGCAAACTTCCCATCATTCAACCCAAATGCCATTGCTACACTCTTCCTCGCAGGGTTGGCACAGGCAGAGTATGTCAAGTGCACATACTCTCTACCATTTGGGGAAAGGTACATAATCACATAGCATCTCTGGACCCAGAATATGCTTCTGCGAGCACACTCAGAGAATGAAAAGGGGCTTCCAGATCCCGTACACATTCTGACATGGAAGTGCATTTGTTTGGGAATCATCTTCCTCCCTTGATGGCTGTGGTAGTCTATCAAGGGAAGACTAACATACCCTCCCGTTAGGAATGGTATGAGGAGTGTGGGGATCATCTGGAACTAGCAGACAGTGGGATATCAAGACTATGAGTGCTAAACTGCAGACTACAGGCCCTGGGCACCTGTGAAGGCTTGCAGTCAACCAGCAAATATCCCCATGCCGGAAGGAGTATAGAACTAAATAAGTTTTAAATTATGGGTTATAAAAGCTACCCTAGAAGAAAAAGGAATGCTTTCTATTTCAGTGTCTTCAACAGCAATTTTATACTGGCTTTAGAACAAGGGGACTCAGATTTCTGTTTCCCATTGGCCCTTCTAAAGTATATTCCCAGCCTGAGTGAACATTTTTTTAAGCATAAAAGTACTTTTAATTTCTTAGCATGTTCTTTCTTCTTATTATTATTATTATTAGATTTCTGTTCATTTTACATACCAACCACAGATTCCCCCATCCTCCCTCATCCTGCCCCCCAGGTTTCTCCCCCAACCCACCCCCCGATTCCATCCCCTCCAAGGCAAGGTCTCCCATGGGGAGGTACATTTAGTTGAAGCAGGTCCAAGCCATTCCCCCTGCACCAAGGCTGTGCAAAGTGTCCCACCATAGGCACTGGGCTCCAAAAAGCCAGCTCATGCACCAGGGATGGGTTCCAATCCCATTGCCTGCCTGGAGGCCCCCTAAACAGTTCAAGCTAAACAACTGTGTTGCTTATTCAGAGGACCTAGTCCAGAACCATGGGGGCTCCTTAGCTATTGGTCCACAGTTCATGTGTTTCCACTAGTTTGGCTGGTTGTTAGTGTATTTTTTCCCATAATGATCTCAATGTCCCTTGCTCATAGAATCCCTCCTCTCTCTCATCGATTGAACTCCTGGAGTTCAGCCTGACACCAGGTCGTGGATCTCTGTCATCTGCTTCCATCAGTCACTGGATGAGGACTCTATGATGACAGTTGGGGTATTCAGTCATCTGATCACCAAAGTAGGCCAGTTCAGGCACCCTCTCTACTATTGCCAGTAGTCTAAAGTGGGGTCATCTTTGTGGATTCCTGGGAACTTCCCTATCACTCTGCTTGTCTCTATTCCCATGATGTCTTCATTTATCATGGTATCTCTTTTCTTGTTCTCCCAGTCTGTTCCTGTTCCAGTTAGAACCTCCCGCTCCCCTAAGCTCTCATCCCCCATCCCTTGCCCTCCATTACCCCCACCCACACCCCCAGTTTGTTCATGTAGATTTCATCCATTTCTCCATCACGGGGCAATCCATGTGTCCTTCCTAGGGTCCTCCTTACTAGGTAGCCTCCCTGGAGCTGTGGATTGCAGTCTGGTTACCCTTTGCTTTACACGTAGAATCACTGATGAGTGAGTACATGCCATGTTTGTCCTTCTGAGTTACCTCACTCAGGATTATATTTTCTAGATCCATCCATTTGCCTGCAATGCTCATGATGTCATTGTTTTTCTCTGCTGAGTAGTACTCCATTACGTATATGTGCCACATTTTTAAACCACAAGGATTACCAAGCCATGAGAATCCAGATTCACTAGCTATGTAACAGTTTACAAAGGTAACTGTAAGAACTGTAAGAATATTCCACTTTCCCCAGTCCTACCCACAAAATATTCTCATTAAGTCTCTATGAGCCCCCAAATCTGTTTTTATCAGAAACCAAGATTTTTCTACCACATTTGGTTCTCAGACCACCTCTAAGACATTCTGAATGCTCAGAAACATAAACCCTGGGGCCCGGCAGACTGAGGTGGGGTGAGACACATATGCCACAAGTCACATGTGGAGATCAAAGGACAACTTGCAGGAATCAGTTCTTTCTTTCTATCATGTGGGTCCCAGGGATTGAACGAAGGTCACCAGGCTTGGTGGCAAGTACTTTTAGCTACTGTGCCATCTCAGTAGCATGAGTGGTTATATAACTTTAAACCTTAGTTTGTTCATTGAGAATGGATAAAGTAATATTCCATAATGTACTGTGTCTTGAGTTACAAACATGTATAAACAATACAGTCATTAGCCCCAAATAAATGAACTCAATAAATGTATAAAATTAGGAAGATTGTTAAAGGTGGGTGGTAGAAATGCTGGTGTTTATTATATCATTATTATGTTTTTCTGTATTTTTGCAATTTTTCAAAATATAAAACAATAGCTAAAAAGAGCCAGAGAGCCTGAGAGTGGGAAAGAGGGTGAACGGGCTGTAATAATTGGATGAGCCCATCAGGAGCTTAGATAAAAAGCTAGTGCTTCAGTGTCCAGGTCTCAGCAGGTGGTCAGTAAGTTGAATTCAGGCCCAGAACAAGTCCTTCAAAAGGACCATCTCTACCCCACATGCAAAGGGACCAACATCCCTCTTTGTCACGTTTAGGAACAGGTTTAGCTGAAGGGCTACTTATGGCTTAGGCAAAGGGCATCAGTTTACAGAGGCTAGTTGGCTCCTGCAAAGTTTACTGAATGCTGAGTGCGCCCTCTAGTGTCCACGCTTCTCAGTTTTATCCTTGAAAATGTGGATCAAGAAGGCCTTTGTTTACATTGGAACTGAAATTCTCTAAGTTGATTTAGATGTTAATTGGGTAAAAAACATTGATGGTCCTCTTTGATTATGATGTGACTATGGACAAGAGAGAATGGATTAGCCTCTTATCTGCTAATGTCCGTGTTTAATGCAACACTCCAGGCACTTCTGTCCACATTGTCTAAAAATCAAGTACAGCAAAGCAGACAGTTTAGAACAAGGACAGCCTGCATTTCTAGCCAGAGCAAGCTGGCTATGGTTAGGGGAGATGGAAGGAATGTGCGAGTCCTGCTGGTGATCAGCACATAGGTGACTAGTAAACACAGACCCTGTGGAGTCCTTAGGCCTCATTTCATAATATTCTCATCTGGGAGGCTTGAAACAACTCCTGAGAAAACTAGTCATTTCTCTCTTTCAAGTAACCTATAGAAAAGAGATGTCCTCATACAAGGCAAGAGACTCAATAGTAATTTAATTATTCATCCTGGAGAGTTAGTATTTCACGCCATATTCACTGTATCTCCTTGAAAAACTTATGCCAGCAGACTCTAGATAACATGGGAAAAGGAACTCAAGGACCCCACATCACACACAAAAAACCCACCCCTCAGATTTGCCTCACCTGGAGCACTAGCCCTACCATTCTGTCTCTCATTCTGCATTCGCTTCAAGATCATTATAGAAACAGCACTTTGGTTTGTACTCCAGAAACACTAATTCATCTGCAGAGCTGACACTTTCCAGAAATCCTCCATTTCTGCCAGCACCTAGAAGCCAACTTTTACCTACTCCCACAAACAGCATATGTATTCATTTCTCTCTGGATCAAATATCGTATGCAGTGAGATTCTTAATTTCATTTCCACAGGTCATTTTAAATGGTGAAATTGAGGCATTCTGTGGCGGTGCCATCATTAATGAAAAATGGGTTGTAACTGCTGCCCACTGTCTCAGACCTGGTGATAAAATTGAGGTTGTTGCAGGTAAGTAAACAAAATAGATAATAATTGGCAACATCAGTGCATGATGGACATATGTATTGTACAAAGGTCCAATAAGATTGTTACTGAATAAATTGGGCTAATGGTAGAGGGGCCATAATTTCAAATTCTAACTTATTCCAGCTTCCAAGCCCCAGTTTTTGTGAACCCATAAAGCACTCTCAGCATGGTACAATTATTTTTTGATGCATTAATTTCCCCACCCACTATATTAGATCATTGAGAGTTGGTTGCTAGTGATCAGTGAACCCAAGCAGACTGTAGACCCATGGGAAATGTGTTTATGCAAAAGACAATAAATTACAAGATTTGTTTTCAACAGGTGAATATAACATTGATGAAAAGGAAGACACCGAGCAAAGGCGAAATGTGATTCGAACTATTCCTCATCACCACTACAACGCAAGCATTAATAAGTACAGCCATGACATTGCCTTGCTAGAGCTGGATAAACCTTTAATACTAAATAGCTACGTAACCCCTATCTGTGTTGCCAATAGGGAATATACAAACATCTTCCTCAAGTTTGGGTCTGGCTATGTAAGTGGCTGGGGGAAAGTCTTCAACAAAGGTAGACAGGCTTCAATTCTTCAATACCTTAGAGTTCCACTGGTTGACCGAGCCACGTGCCTTCGGTCCACAACATTCAGCATCTATAACAACATGTTCTGTGCTGGTTACCGTGAGGGAGGCAAAGATTCTTGTGAAGGAGATAGTGGGGGACCCCATGTTACTGAGGTGGAAGGAACCAGTTTCTTAACTGGCATTATTAGCTGGGGTGAAGAGTGTGCAATGAAAGGCAAATATGGAATATATACTAAGGTTTCCCGGTACGTCAACTGGATTAAGGAAAAAACAAAGCTAACTTAATGAAAAAAAAACAACTATTTTTGAAGGCTATTCACTAGGATTGAAAATGGACCAAGCTCTTTACTAACTAGTCATTTTCCACCTCTTGTTAAATTTGAATATATAAGTTCTATAAATACTGATTTTTCTCTGTGCAGATGAGGATCCCATCTAGGATCTATATTGTACTAGATCAAGTAGGTTAGCAGATATAATCGCTAGAGAATGAGTTTGGTAAGAGATTTTACTGTTTCCATAAGTGCAGCCCTTGGCAAAATTAGAAAGGAAAGTTTTCCATGGTGCCCATCAGGAAGGATGGTCCTCGACTGCAGTGACTTACCTGGTTCTCCCTTCTTAGCTGTAACCCATGTCATAGATCTTCCTTGCCTCTCTCAAGTTTATTGGGTTTCTACCAGAATCTTTAGCCCATTTAAGGCCAGAGGCACACAGGAGCCACTGATAGGTTAAAACTCATCAAAATCATTACTTCCTCTCCTGTTTTTTTTTTCCTGAATCCTGTATCTTTTCAAACTGTCAATCCCTAAATCAGTGTTCCCTGACTCACTCCCACTCTCCCTAGCCATGGAGGGGGAAGAGGACTCTTTTTAAATGCCATATATATATATATATACACACACACACACACACACACACACACACACACACACACACACACACACAGCAAACCCATATTCGCTTTCAGTTTTATCTCAAACTTACTTTGGATAACATGGGATAAGGTGTACTACCTACAATCATAAGGGGAATTCCCCCTTCAATGCACCACCCAGGATAGTTCCCTAAGAATGTGTAATCGGTGATCATGGAGGCCTGACATTGATCAAAATGCATTGCCTCCTGTCTGAAAGAAATCATGGTAATAGAAAGTTAATGATGAGCCAGACAGAGTAGTGAATGCCTTTGATCCCAGCACTTAGGAGGCAGAGGCAGGTGAATCTCTGAGTTTGAGGCCAGCCTAGTCTATAGAGTTAGTTCTAGGACATCCAGGGCTACATAGAGAAGCCCTGTCTTGAAGAAAAAGAATAAGAAAGAAAAAGAAAAAAAGTAAATGATTAATTTAGCCATGTAAGTTCACTGTGTATAGTAGCATATTGGTAAACGTTTAAGCAAGGGCTCTTAAAAACAACTCAGAACCTTATGTGTAGCAACTACTCATCTCTATGGTATAATCTTGGTAGATTTCAAGCTATTAACATGAAATTACTGAACAAGGGAGTTGATAAAACATACAAAATTGATCTAAAACAATGCTTTAGTCAGTTTTAACCTAGAACTAGCTGAGTTCTCAAGGAATGTTTTAACAGCGTGTGTTCAGCCTTCTCCAGTGCCAATCAACAAGACAACTTGCCTAAACAAGACAACCAACATAAGTGGGCTCAAGGACAGAGTCATTGCAAATGGCCAACTGAATTGCCCATTTCTGGTTTTCAGCTCACCAATGAGCTTTGTTATTATAATTAATCTTGCTATATTAAGTTTTTTAGAGGGTAACTGACCATCCAACACGTTTTTTTCATCTGGGACTTAATGAACTTGTATTTTAATTCATATCATGGATCTCTGTATAAACTTGTCTGATATTGAGCACTCAATGATGCATAAAGGGGAAAAATGACAAAAGCATGATTTGAACCCCTTGGCACTGTCACCTGCCCCCATCAAACAAACCCTACTTCACTACTGCTGATTTTACTAAAGTGCCACTACTTACTCTTTTTTGTCTTGTAAAAAGTATCAATAAACATCTTTCCAAATTTCTCCAAGTGTTTCTTTGTTCTTCATTCCTTCATTCAACAAATATTCAAGTAGAGTTCCCTGCATAACATTACCAATAATGCTGATTAAATTTTGAAATAAGAGTGTTTGCATTTGAAAAAAATTTAAGTATGTAAATAACCATCAGTGTACATACTACACTAGGACACAGTAGTTGCTCAATAAACACTAGCTGGAGCTAGAGAGATGGCTCAGTGGTTAGGAGCATTTGCTGTAGCACTTGCTTCTTATTAGTAACCCAGGTTCAATTACCAGCTTCACATCAAGAGACTCACAACCATTAATTAGTAACTCCAGATCCAGGAGATTTGATGGCCCTTTCTGGCCTCCATGGGCACTGCACACATGTGATGCTCTACAGACAAGCAGGCACACGCACATACACGTGAATAAAGATAAATGATTTTTTTAAATGTTAGGTGAATTGGAGTTCATGTTTATTCCAGAAGAATTAGTCATGCATTGAGCATCGGGAAAGGGGACCATACTTAGATTAATCAGTTCTGTTATCATTGGCTAAAGGAGAAGAAGAGAGATGAACTACTCTAAGTGTCAATTTTACATTTGAGGAGAATGCTACCTCATTCATGAAGCATGTTACTGCAAATTTGAATAACTAAGGCTCTATGACCCCAGTGCTCAGTTGGGAAAAGAGTCACTGATCATGTTGTCATGGAGACCACCCCTTACAAAAGCAGCAATGGTGAACCAGCCTCACACCTCAAGCCATTGGCCCTCTGTGTGGCACAGGGAGAAGCTTCTAAGCTTCTGAACCTCTGAGCCATAATTACCCTTTCTCCCATAAGTTCAAAAATGACTGACTCCATTCTGAGCCATCTGCAACATGTTGCCAATACTAAACATGTGGGCCTTAGAGTGCACCTACCGGCAAGGCCTCACTGGATTCTGCCTAGGGCACTTGCAGTCACTAGGTAAGAATCATTAATGCATTCCAAATTGTTGTAGCTACTTAGCTTAAATGGGCTGAAACATGCTAGTATAATATTGGAAGTGACAGATTAAAATAGAACTCTTGCTGAGTGAAGAAAAGTGTGTTAATATCATGCACACATTTTACCTTGCTGTTTAAATCTGATTGCCTTTAGTTCTTTGAAATAATAGTTACTTTATGGTGTCAAGAACCAAATATAGTCTGATTTTCTTAGCCAAAGGAAAAAGAAAGGGTACTCTTCTAAACACAACCATTTACAAACTGCTTCCTTATAAATTCTACATATTTTCATCCTAAAAATGTCAAAAATGCAAGGTCCATTAAATATCCAATCCTCTGCACTTGTACAGGTGAGGATCCTGAGGTCAAGAGAAGGCCAGGCCCAAGTAACACAATGGCAGAGCCTAGAAGAGAGTTCAGATCTAACATCTTGCATTGTGAAACACAGCACTTTCAGCTAGAGTACACTCCTGCTACTTTCTGTATTTGTACGGCAGCCAGGGCTATCTGCGTTGATGGAAATCTATTCAGAAAGTCTGGGAGAAAAGCTGCCTGGCATTCTTACTAATGATATTCTGAGTGGGAAAACACGTGATAAAATCAAGAGCAGTAGGTAGCCTGGAAGGCAGAGCAGCAGTCAGATAAACTGGAGCTGCAGTCCCTGGCTCCTAGCAGGTACTCAGTAAACACATGACTATGAACCCTCAGTACTAGTGGCTGGCTTTTATCCCAACTGTGAGCACTTTGCCTTCCAGATGTGACATTTGACTTGTAGAGTGTGCTGCTTGGCGGCGTCATGTGGCACACAACAACCCAGCACTACAGCACTTTATTCTTTGCAGTCATGCTGGGGAAGAAGACACACGTGCTTCACTGGGAGACTGCAGGCTTCTGCAGAAGCTGTTGGAGAGCTCAAAGAGGCCCCAGGAACCAGGAATCCAGCAATGTGGCGGCGCAGCTATGCAAGCCAGCGAAAAACTACAGCTGCTGACAGGCCTGTCTGGGGAAAGCAATCAGAAATGAGGGTGCTTTTACCAATGTGAGACTTACGCCATCTAGAAATCTCACTTATGACCACAAACATCAAGAGTGCTCTGTAAACCATAGAGGCTGTTGAAGGATTTGTAGCAGGATAAAAAAAAAAAAAAGAAAAGAAAAAGACTGTGGGAACACTGGGATCACATTCTTTCCAACCATTCTCTATCCATAGATCTGTCTTCTCCTTTCCTCCCACAGTTTCAAGCAGAATGTTTTCAGCCTGCCCTTCAGATGTTTTAGTTAATCACAACTTCTAGTAAAGGTAAGAATAGTAGATCCACAAAGAAACAAGTTACTGAAATGGGGTCAAGGTGTTTTCTCCACACCCCACAGAACATGGCAGAGCTCTTTTGATCTAGCCAGATCATCTCACTGTAGTCCAAAAGCAACCCTTTTGGGTGAGTGGTAAGTGTACAAAACCAGGGAAATTCCTGATTCCAAAGAGTGCTACCCAGCTTGACCACCTTAATTCCATCCCCAGAACCAAGAGGGTGGAAGTAGAGAACCAATCCCCACAATTTTGACCTCCACACACACCATGGCATGAAGACACATGTACACAAATAAATGTAATTTTAAAGAATTAAAGCTGCTTCAGTGCAATGTGGAACTTGAAGTTCCCAATCTATAAAATCTTACCAACTTACTATCAAACTTTTAGAGTGATTGCAGCTCTGTACCTATGACATGGTTTGCTTGCTGAGATCATTAAGATTTAAAAAAAGACCCACTGGGCAGTGGTGGCGCACGCCTTTAATCCCAGCATGTGGGAGGCAGAGGCAGGTGGATCTCTCTGATTTCAAGGCTAGCCTGGTCTACAGAGTTCCAGGACAGCCAGGGCTGTTACACAAAGAAACCCTGTCTCAAAAAAAGCAAAAAAAAGACCCACACATAGTACAAGTTTTAATAAACATCCCTCTGTACATAAAAATATTTTCTTATTGAACTTTATTACAAAAATAAACATGCATTTTTATGAGGTTTGCTACTAAAATTCCTCCCTGGGAGAGAGAGAATGCCTACTCCTCCTCCTAAGGTCCCAACAACAAGTAAGTTTGGAAACAAAAGTTCACTCAGAGGAACCAATGAGTTTGTGAGGTTTACAAAGCAGTGAGTGGGGGCCGGGGGAGGTATGAGCAGGAGCTTAGGAGATCTTAAGCAGCCACACTAGGGGGGTCTGCACCCAGCAGGGATGATGGCTTCCCCAGGGCTGTGTAGATGGAACCCCTCCTCTCATCCTTCACCACCTATATCTCCTAGCCCTCCCCCAAGATCTTCATACAAAGAATTAATAAAAAATACTGCTTAAAAGATACTTGGGAGGCTACTAGCCTAGGGTTTCTTCCTTGGTACACTGAAGTCTGGTGTGAACAGTGGAAGGAACTGAGACGTTACTAATCAGAACCATCCACTGCCATTTAACTAAGGACGGAGTTCTGCTGTGCTCCTTTGTTTCAGTTATCAAGGCTCCCTGCTCACACTGCTGCAGAGCTCTCGAATAAATCATGCTGGGTCTCAGCAACGCCCCATTCTGCAGTTTGTTCTTCGCTCAGATAAATAGCGTTCAATTGATTTTGTCCGAAGTGTTCCTTTTTTAGTTATTGTATTTTGGTTTCTTGTGTGAGTGTTTTGCCTGCACTGTGTATGTATGCCGCATGTATGCCTGATGCCTGTGGAGGACAGAAGAGGGCATCAGATCCCCCATACCATAGCATTGTCTGTTCCTCAGATTTTACATTTTATAAACCAAGGAAGCAGAGGTTCTAAAGATTTAACAATTTATTGAAGGCTTAAAGAAGCCAGTCATGGTGGCACATGCCAGTGGGATTTGCTGAAAGAGGCAGAGGCAGGAGAAACACAAGTTCGGAGGCCAGCTGGGCTAAAAATTTATTTGTATTTTATGTATATAGATGCTTTAATTGCATGTATGTTTATGTACCATGTGTATACAGTGCATGGCAGACTTCTTTGAAGTCCAGAAGAAGGCGTCAGATCCACTGCAACTAGAGTTAAATATGGCTGTGAGGCAAGGCACCATGTGGTTCTGGGAACTGAATCTGGGTCCTCTAGAAGAACAATCATGCTCTTAACCACTGGGCCATCATTTCCAGCCCCAGGGGTTCTACTCCTAATCTTTATCATCTAGGGCTGAAAACAGAGAATACGGAAGAGAGTATAGACATGAAAACATATAGGAGACCCACTGGCTGGAATATCTTTATGTCCAAGAACAACAGCTTGTCTGAGATGTTAAATTTCATTATTAGCTCATTTGGGTACATATTCTAAGAAGAATAAAGTTGCAAAGAAAACTGAATCCATAAGCATAAGATATAATAACGACAGAGCTGCCTAGTGAAGAGAGAAAGCACTGCTCTGAGAGGTCCCTGTAGCTTGAAGAGCAAGAAAGCAACGCACGGGAAGCGCCACGCAAAAGGCGAGCGCTCGAGGCAGTCCTCTCTGCTAATTTGTTTCACACTACCGAAGCATTAGTGATACTATAATCCTTAGGTCCTATGAAGAAAGGGATGAAGAAAGTTGGCTTCTGTAGCTGTCTCCTTTTCTATGGAATAGTGTTTTTTTTATTTTTTTTAGATTTATTTTATTGCATTTTATGTAGATGCCTGCATAGTTATATTGCCTTTTTAGGATTTGCTTATTTTATTTTATGTATATGAGTGTTTTGCCTTCATGTATGTGCACTGTATGTTTGCCTTGTGCCATGGAGGCAAGAAGTGGACACCAGTCCCCTATAACTGGGGTTACGCCCCATTGTAAGCTGCCATGTGGGTACTCTGAAAGAGTAACCAGTTTTCATTTTGTTTGTTTGTTTTCATACAGTATAGTCTGATCATGGCTTCCTCTCTTCTCCTCACATACCCTCCCCACCCACCAAACTCCATGCCTTTTTCCCCCTCTCTCTTTAGAAAATAAACAGGCAAATACAACACACACACAAACAACAACAACAAAAAACATAAAAACATAACAT